TCACTCTCAGCCACCTCCTTCAGGAGACTTTACATTCTCTCTTTCCCCTCCTCAGGATTTCGTCAGGTTTTCTGTATCTGACAATTTGCCGGGTTCGGGAGATGGTGACGTATTTGATAAAGGGCGAATCGAGTCACCTGGTGATAGAGACGATAATGAGTCAATCATGTCAGATATGTCTGACTTGTCTGCAGTCAGCTGTATGCATGCATGCACTAGTAGTGCATGCACTAGTAGTGCTATGCCATATATCCTCATTGATATTTTCCGATCTAGGCATGACTTGTTTCTCTGAAGATCATTCGAAAAGCTAAATTAATGTTGAAGTTGTAGCTGCCACCCATTTCACCCTAATTGTCATAGTTAATTTGATTCACTGACACTATTTATACTTACCATCTAAAACTAATTGTAAATTTCATTCACACAATTTAGGTTTGATTTTATTGTGGTATAAAAATAAATAAGATAACAGATACCAGTTGAACAAACCAACATGACATTCCTGCAAAACTTTGTTTACATGTTTACATACCTATTTAAAAATAGGGTATTCCATCACCATTTACCATTTCAAAACGAATTATGTTTATTGATTATGCGCATATTTTATTTGTTTTCGTGTTTATCCAACTAACATCTGTCAACACATTTGTATTTGTATAATTTTCGTATTGAAACATGGGGTCAGTGTGGAGGAAGTTCTGGATATTTTACTGGACGAAAACGCGTACGTACCCCTGTATTCTAATATTATTTTAATTTTGACAACGCATTTAGGTAATTCGTGATTCAAGTAAATAATCACATCTTTTGGTGCTATTAATATAACCGTAGATCTAAGTTCAGTTTTGCGAGTATTGAGGATTGTGGCATCTGTTACTGGTACAAACTATAATGTACTTCACTGGATGACATCAAATCAAATTATGGCACACTAAACATGGCTATATAAGGTAACCATTGTCGTGTTGTGGCGCCAAGGTCGACATTTGTAGTGCTTAAATTTGCTAAGAACGTGGCGTTTAGTAAAATTATGGTTAGTTTTAAGTATATCATTTTTTATATTGAACGTACCTGAATTTGATTGGTTCGTGAAATGCAACAATTAATTAGCATGTTTGAATTTATTGTGAAATTGAGTAATCGTACAGTACACCAAAAGCTTTTTCAGAACGCCGGTAGTGAACGATTTTACGTGTACATGTATGAGAATGCATGAATATATCTTTTTAAAACATCGCATGCCATATATGCCTATCTTACAGAAATGTTATTTTCCGCAACTATAGGACGCCTGTGAATTTGTGATGAATTGAGAGAATAATTTTGTCAAACATGCTGTTGGGTATACCGACAAAAATGTTCCAGAAGCACTCAGGTTAAATTAGTTTAAAATGTAAGAAGAATTTACGATTGGTCAAATGGTTCGTTGTCTTCTAGGTTTAAAAATATATTTGTTAAGCTTATTCCTGTTTTAGATTGTAATGGTGCCGTTGCCATGACAATACATTCTCTCTGTTGATGTCGTGCTACCAACTGGTGAGAATCCATAGTAAAGTGTTATAACGTAGCACCCAAATTTGCTTACGCACCAACAACAAAGTACATACAATACTCATTATGGAAAAAACAAACTCATTAAAGACGCTTTTCAATAAGCGACAAATAGCTTGTTAGTCTCCAAAAAAATCTGCCACAAAATAAGCGACTACGCAGCATACATACCAAATCATTTTGATCATAGGGGTGTCAGGTGTTATAATTCAAATGATTTTCAAATCAATTTCATCCTCATGAGGAAAATATATAGACTGGCTTAGAGAATTCACTTATCAACTATCAAATTAATAAGATCAGAATCAAATAACACGCGGGGTACAACAATTTTGAGTGAACTATTTTCCTGTACATACCTTTTGCAGTAATAGTTTTCAGTAATCGTATATAATTTATAATAATTTATTAATTGTATAATGGCCTCCGGCCCATTACAATCATACGAATTAATTATTGACAAAATATCAATATATATTACAAAATATGTATGAAAATATAGATGAAAAGGGCGTCAATGGATAATATAAGCACTATATAATAATGTGATGGGGATATTATATATATATATATATATATATATATATATATATATATATATACATACAAGCTTATTATGTTATTCTCATTTGATCTTTGATTAAAAAAACATTTATAGAGCTAACGAGTTAATGATTTGGCTTTTAGAGGAACTTAATAGTTGTACTAGAGTATTCAAATTTAGGGGTTGTGTCTCATTTGGGAGATACTTTTTCCTGAATGCGTCCCACGCAGTGCATTTTAGTAAAAAATGATATTCATCATCAATTTCTTGCAGGCAGAAATGACAAATACGGCCCTCCCTAGGGATATCACGCACATCTTAATCTTGCTATTGCTCTGCGCAATTTTAATTGTGGCAATGACACAGTTTTCAATCCCAAAATTTGTTTTGTATTGCCTATAATACTGCGTTTTTTCGCCAGAACAAAGGTCTATATACCAATCTGTAATTCCAATATCTTTGACCCGTTCACAAAATTTGTACAAGAATATATCAGAGTCCCCCACCCTTGATTAAACCAGACATAACCAAATCTATATTCAAATAGCCAAATACGAAACAACTTTATTGTTAAGGTTTCGACAAGTTGGAAATGTAATGCATTCACACAATGAAATGTCTGATCTGTGACTATTAAGAGATTATAAATAATATCAGATTATAAATAATATCACTATGGACTAAAACTCAGTGTTAGAATGGGTACATGATTCAACAATTTTTACCATAATGATACACGGGAATGGGAAACACTTACTTCGTGCGGTGAAACAATCACAAAATATATCTTGCCATAGATATTTATTAGTTCCCGCAGATATTTGCTACACTCATATGATTATACATAATAGTGCATTGCTGATAGTCTATCGATTTCCGACAAAATATATATACACATAGTTGTAGAACCTTATAGCACGTTGAATGCGAATGACGGGTTTTATACGTTCAAGCCATTATTGAGGCCATTATTAGTGACTAGAAACTAAACTTTGAGCACAAATTTGACCCGTTCTTAGCTGATACAACTGGCTTTTTTTTTATTATTGTACATTTTTGTTTCGCCTTTAATTAAACAAACATAGCGTAGCCTGTCTATAGACTGGAATCCCATGATAGTATTGTATTGCAGAACGATTTTCTTCTTTGCAATGATATTCTGTTATATCTCGTATCTAACAAATATCTGTAACGTTCTGAAATAAAACGTTTGATATAAGTTGGTATTACCGGAAATATACACATCATAATTCAACATTTGCGCTATTATACAAACCATTATGCAAATACCATTCGCCTTTCTTACAAACCATGTGCAATGATTGCGGCTCAGCACCCTGGCTTGACAACTACATGTATACAAACTATGGTCATCTAATGTAGGTAAAATGTTCAAATAATGTGACAAATGACAAATCTTGCGCATACAACACCACACATTGAATACATGAAACCATACTTTATTAAATACAACGAGAATTAGGCTTGGAACTATTAATCAATATCGTCCTCCCCCTGCATTATTTCAGTTCTAAATACAGCCTTCACCAAGCACCAACGAAAAAACACAATTAGTGAAGTTTGGTGGTGACAAGAATATGCACTACATACACCATCGCAATTCTTCGCATAAATATTTGTAAATTATCACAAAAATAAAACTGGCCAGGAAAATAATATTTTTTTTATAAATAACAAACTGAGCATAATAACAAGGTAATGTGAATGTATAGATGTCTAGAACCAAAATTGTACTGCATTATGTAGATTCTCTTTTGTTGAACTTCAGGCTATGGCGTTAGTTGTTGCGTTCAGTGTGAAATCAAACTACCAAAAATATCAAAACACTAAATTCGCAAAGCACAAATACACAACATGAAAAATATGATTATTGTCAATCAATCATGCCATAAAAACCTATTCTTAATGTGAGAGTAGAAGAAAATACTTGGAAATAGATGAATATATATGCCATTAGATTAGTAGTTACATCTACCAATAAACGGGAGACATGCAGATCACAGTACAATGACGTCAGTCTGTCCTAATTAACATTAATTTATTTCCTAATTAAAATGTATAATGTATTAAAACAATAATAAATTGTCAAAACTCGTTACATGTAAAGTTAGATAGTAAATACGATTCAACTGTTTGTTTTGTTTTTAATTCACTTAACTTAGTGTGTGATGCATATTCTACAATATACTGAACTGTTTTGCCATATGACATGTGTATTTTTATTAATCTGATCTAACCAAAAAACAATTTGTACAATTGATTCAAAATGATTACAACGCCAGCTAGGGTTAGAAAATTCCAAACGATGAGATAAACGTGTGTGACTATATAATGAAGTATTATTTCACTTTTCTGCTTCAAGTGTCTCAGCTAGGTCAACACGATCACAACTCCGTAAAGCTTTGGTCAGTATTGCCATTTTATTTTCAGATCGTTTAGTTTTATTTCTCCAGGTCACCAACATTTCAAATATCTGCTGCTGTGTATTATTGGGATTCTGTGCTTTGATCCGCTGCAACTGAGGTGGGTCGATTGAAAGATATGTTGCAAGAGCTTCAAACTCCCTTCCTAGTTCTTTTGCTAAATCTTGAAGACATACGTTGTTCAAAGGTCCTACAAGACAGATTATCATTATGTAAGCGACCGATGCTGGTTATAGTATAGAATCAATTAAAGTATAATATGTGTGAAATAATTTCGAATTGCATAAGTTATGAGTATATGTGCACGCAGCTCATAAGATTATATATGTGAGTGCGTAGGGCCAATCTGTCGATTTCCGAAAAAATACATATATATAGTCATAGAACGTTGCAGCACGCTGAATGAGAATGTTGGGTTTTAACGTGCTAAGGCACTAAAGCGTGTCATAGGAAGCCATTATTCGTGACTTCAAATTCGACCTGTTCCTAGCTGATACAGATAACTTTGTTATTATTGCAAATTTTTGAAGATGCCTTAAATAAAACAAACATAGCGCATCCTGTATATAAATCGGAATCCCACATTATAGAGCGACTTTCTCTCGCTCATATTATTTACAATGATATTCTGTAATATCGTGTATCTAATTAATATCAGCAACGTTCTGAAATGAAAGCTGTAGTATTGGCAATTGGGAAACACGGCATTAATATAGATTCAATGAATGATACTCGTGTCCTGGATATTTCATTACTCAATGATAAAGATCTGAAATCTTCGGGCCGATAATTTCCATAAAGTAATGTTCCTACTCACAACACATTTATTGCTATTACTTAAAATAGTATAGAATGGATTAAAATATACTATGCATAAAATAATTTTGAATTGCATTAGTTATGAGTATATGTGCAAATCGTGCTGGCGACACATAGTCCAATATTAAGGTTCAGTGTGGAGTGGAGATCCAAATTCAACTCACCTGCACTAGCAGTTTTGACTCTTGTTCTTTCACGGGTCATCTGTGGCAACTACAAGGAAGGATGAGAACCAACAATATTCATAAATAGGAATGTATCTGAATTTCAAACTAAATATAAAGCCACCAGTGAACAAATATGGTAGTAACCCAGTATAAACTACATTGTGAATTAGGATTCTAATGCGTATGGTATTTATTTTATTATCAGCTTCAATGATATTAGAGCTATGAAATAGTTAATAAAATAGTGCAATCCTTTTAAAATTGGCGCGGACTGAACGTCTGCTGCAAAAATCGAATAATTTGATTTTGACCTGAATTTCTTTTTTCAAAGCAAAATGTTGAAAGGCCGAGCTTTCAGAAGAGAGATACGTTTACTTCAGCAAAATGTACAATTTGTACAATGATCAAATGTGTATAGCACAATATTGACTGTGAAAATAATTGTGCGTTTATGTGCGTCTCATGCAGTGAACGGAAATTTTGTCTAATCATCATATTTTCACTGATATAGGACACACCACTTCTTTTAGCAATTTATTTTTGTTGGCTACACTCGAAGTTAGACCAAGAAAATTTGGCTTGATTTCCATTTGAATAAGTCACGTGAGTAAAATTTGGCTTGATTTCCATTTGAATAAGTCACGTGGGTAAAATTTGGCTTGATTTCCACTTGAATAAGTCACGTGGGTAAAATGTCAAACTAAATTAAAGTGCACTATGTCATGCATGTATCGTGGCTGTGGGATTTGGTGCAATCATATTTGGTGTTGACCAAACTATATTAATGGATATATATATATATATATATATATACCTTGGGCAAAGCCACAGGTAACTCTGTCATATATGTCCATTCATTTTCGACCTCAGCTGGGTCAACATACAATTTGGATTGGTCATTATCTTTCTTGGAGAATTCTGCTACTCCACGATGAAAATCGCCATTGAAGTTTCTATATGGATCTACTTCTTTGACAAAGAGCTCTATATAATTTGAAAGTGCTGCATAGAACGTGATACTGTGCTTGGCTTCCTGGTGTGTCAGTTGGATATTATTTCTGAATTTGACATTGAACAGTTGTCGTTCCCTGATCTCAACTGCATCACTTGGCAATGGTGGTCCTTCAAAACCTTTTTCTTCCAGTTGGCTCATAATCTCATCACACTGATCTGCTGGTGCAACCTGAACTACAATCCTTGATTTGTCTTCCGTAAAGTGGTGAAGAATAACCTTAACTAAGTTAACAAATCTACACTTCTCTAATTCCGCTGCAGCTTTTGGAGGTAGCATTGATGAACCTTCTCTCATCTCCATTGCCAAAACACTGAAAATTAATAAGATTTATTCTTCAGAATAAATTCATTACTAAATGAACAATATATATGTAAATAGCTAGTGTTGTACTTACATATTGTAACCCTCAGGTATTGTGACTGTGACTGAACCTTTATTCACATGTTGAATGTCAGTTTTCGGCATTTGCCATGATGTTCCTCTGTTTTTTACCAATACCACTGTTTCCCCGTGGTTATTGGGTCCTGCTACTTCCTTTCTTTGAGATTTTCCGACCAGCGAATGTTTCCCATTCATCTTTAATCCTGATCTGTTACCGCCAATTTTTTTTTCATCTTCTTTATCGGCTTTCGTGTATTGGCTGAACATTTTCATAGGTAATGTCGCCGTTAGTGGCTTGTCTAATTTACGTCCATGTGATAAGTGAAGCACTGGGGATGCTTTTGAAACTTGCTTTCCAAGTGTTTCCATTTGGTGAGGTTGTATATTAGTAGGTATCACCTGAAACATATATATCACAGTTCATGGTTTTGATTAATGAGTCAAAGCCCACATCATGAAACCACTAACAAATACGACATCATTAAGTTGAACTTGCTTGTAACATACCAACCCTGAATCTATTGAAACTTGATCCCCTGTGACTTCATGATTATTCTATAATTAAGGTTTTACTCCTAGATTAGCCTATATATGGAATATTTGTACTATAAGTATAAGGAAAGGTATGGCACTGGAAAGGAAACTTGTAAGAGAAACATGCCCTACCTGCAAAGTTGCATCAGTGGGACATGGAAAGGTTCCTTTTTCATATGTGACAGAGACATTCGGATCTATTGATGACATCACTGTAACACATGTCTTTCCAATCGATTGACAGTCTTTAACGATTCTCAACACCACAACAAATGTAGACAGGTTTTTAACATTAACTTCTGCAAATAATAACCCCTATATGCAAAAGAAAAATATTAATATTTAAATGAGATTTCTACATTATTGATTATCATTATTTTAGCGTGAATAATTTCTGAATATATAATCAGATACTTGTACTCACCTGATATTTTTCAAATTTTCTCTCAGTCGAGTTAGTTGCCACCACATTCCACTCGCCATTTTGACCCATTGATTTGACAAGTACTTCAAATCCTCTCATACGCATCTGCGGCATGTATGGTACAGCAACCAGTATGGACCTTTCCAGTGTAACATTTTGAGGTTCCAGAGTAATTACGTTGCTAAGCAACTCCTCATATTCGCCAATTGCAGTGTCTATAAGGTCGTTATTCGTGGTGCATGTAACATCTACATGTTCTAAAACGCAAGAATGAGCTCTGATAATACACAATATATCCTTATTTGGTGATACAAACCTAAAATGGAAATATAATGCAGTGTTAAACCAATGATAATATCTTACTTATAACTACTAATTGTATTCACAATACTAATAATCAATCAAAACAATTCATACAGATGAATAATAGATTTGTTACACAGAGATAATATTATTAGTTTCATGGGTCATTGTTATGTATACTGTAACGTAGCTTACTTTTTAAGGATCCAGTGCTTTGTATTTTTGAAATCCATGTCTTTGATAATTGTATCTGATTTCTTTATTCCTTCATTCACTTTTTCAAAACAATGTTTGGTATTATCAACACATTTGTCAAGTGCTTCTTTGTATTTCGTCACATCATGATCTGTTTTATCGCTGTTTTTAAATGTAGCAATCAGGTCATCTATCGCTTTTTCGATATCATCCACTGAAGATAAAACTGCACTTATGCGATTGTTTGTATCCTGAGCTGCATCCTGAGCTTCTTGAATTACTCGTTTTGCTTCATCCGTGTCTGCTCCACACTGCTCAGCAGCTAGATTGGTATTTGTAACGGATTGGCTTGAAGTTTTACATTTTTCACGGATTTCCATAGCAAACCGTTTTACTTCCTCAATAACAGGATATGTTTTTGTGACTGTTTCAGCCTTGTTATGTGCTGCAACATGTTTCATAATATCATCGACTGTTTTGCGAGAGTTCTTGTTAGTTTCCTTTAAATCTTCAACTTCTTCATCGATTTTCTTCATCCATTCATTGAGACTAGTAATACTTTGTTTCAATAAATCCAACTCGTCATAATTTCTAGTTCTTTCTGTGGTAGAGATTCTATCCTTTATGTCAGTCATTAGCTTCTGCAATGTTGCAGCATTTTCCTTTCCTTTGCGATCAGAAGATTTAAGTTCATCTGTCACTGTAGCTATATTTTCTATACTGGAAAGCAATTTAACAACAATTTCATTGGCATCTGTTGATATGGAATTCGCTATATCTAGTTCAGTTGAAATAACCTGTGCTAAGTCTCTTGCTTTCAGAAGTGTCCCATCAGCAGCGCGTTGCGTCCGGCATTCAGAAATTTGGTTAACAATTTGTGTTGCTAATGTTTTAGCTTCATCTCCAACATGCCTTGCTTTCCCAACTGAAGATTGTGTCTTTTCAAATGCCTTTTCCAAGTTTACTTTTTCGTTTGTAGGATCTACAGACCCCTTTGATCTATAATTGCGGTTTATTTGTTGTGCTGCATGTGTAGTTTGATCAACTGACTGTATTGCCTCCTCCAACAACTCTGATGCTTCTTTTTGCTTTCTTTCAGCTTCTTTCAAATCAGTTTCCCAGTTTGAGACATGAATCGAGTTTTCTTTTCTTTGTTCTTCTACAGACACTTGAAAAATGTGTTCACATGAAACACTTTCCTGACTAAGCATATCCCTAGCTTTTATAATTATTACTGCTGTTTCTTTAAGTTGTTCACGAAGGTCATCAACAATATGTTTTGCTTCATCTGTACGTGCTTTGGCTGTAACAGCAAGTGAATGTTTCTGAATAAATATTTCCACTTGCCCTTTCAATTCAGTAGATTTTGCAAGCAGCTTTTTCATATTAACTGACTCAGTTTCCGCATTATTTATGGCTTTTTCAGTTTCCAATATGGCATTTTTCATATGTTGTATATCATCTCTTGCTAATAAGTTGTCAATTGTATCTGAATGATCGTTTGCTTTTTTTGCAGCTTGTCTCCCATCCTTAGATGACTGTTTAAGCTCTGTTATTAGAGATTTCACCTCACTAGTCATGACACTGTCAGCAATAATGTTCATACGGTCAAATAAATTTTCTAATTCAAGGGCTGAATCCGATGCGGATTCTGCATCCTGTATTACCGAAGTTGCAACATTTCTTGCCTTTTTTACAATTGATTTAGCTTCGTCTTTCATTTTCAAGGTGTTCACCTTTTCAATAACATTAGTACCAAGCCACTCTGCTTCACGTGCTTGTGCTATTGCAGTCTCAGATGACGATTTAATTTGTTTAACATATTCTTTCATTTTCTTGTCAGATTCTTGTACATCATATAGAGCATTGTTTAATTTCACAAATTGTGTCATTTTACTTAAGGTTGATTTCGCTTCACCTATAATCTTCTTAGTTTCTGTTGAAGTGTTTTTGACAGTGGTTAATTTCATTTCAGCTTTTTCTAACATCTCTTCATTCGTCAATCCGTAATCGTTTGCCAATTGCTTGGCATTCTTGACGATATTGTTTGCATCTTCAGTTGCCTTGTCAGTGACTTCAATCATAGTGAGCGTGGACTGATACGAATGATTTGCTTGATCGAGCAGTTGTTGTTTTTCGATCTGTACTGCCTCTTCTTTTTCTTTTTTCTTTCTGGCTTCACGGCCTGTTTTATATTGTTTCATCTGATCAAAAATCTTCGTCACTGACAGTAGTTCTTCGGAAAGTGTTTCAGAATGGAAGGTCACATTATCTAGTACTTCGGCATTCACCTTTGAAATAATACACAGCTTTTCCATTTCATTACCTGACTCCCAAAGACGATTTAAAACAGGTGACACATGCTCATCTGAAAAAGTGAAAATAATATATGTTAGAGGCAATCGACTAGCTTAGTTACAATATGCATTAAGAGATGACACATGCAATTTTAAAAACAATAAGAGAACTCATGATACATCAGAAACGCAATATCGCTGAATCGCAGGCACATTGACTACTAGACTAAACTCACAGTGAATAATTTTTTTTAGTTTCATTTAGTTTCATATAATAACATTGTAATAACAATCTCTGTAATTTCATTTGGCAAGATGTCGCCCTCACACTGATTGTATTAAGTATTAAGAATCATTATCATACATCTGTCACCGTAACGCCATA